ATCTCTGCTAAGCACGTACCTGTCATACATTACTATAATAAACTAGTACTAGATTATCATTTTGTCGGGTCACATCCAACTTGTGTGATCTAGCACTAGTAGAACAATCGCTTGTAAATTGTAAGTGCCCTCTATTGAGAAGCATACAATTCTAGTGTAATTTTGATTTAAGAAATATCAATATTTTCAATATCTAATAAGTACTGCGATTTTTAAATATTAATAGTATTTTTATTTGATCTCATAAATATTTTTATAAGAATATTTAAGATAGTTTGACAGAAGGAGTAGCTTTAACAACTGGTCAGTCAGCCAAAAGTCAAGATGACTCATCAATACATAAATAAATAATATTAAAGAGTTCTATTTTTGTGCTTGCAAAAAAAAGAGAGTTCTTGTTGGTCTGGTTTTTTTCCTAATTATAATTATTTGGACAATGGTGAGTTTTTTCGTCTTACTTTTTTTTTACTTCCCCAACTGCACTCACGTCATCCGTGTCTTACATGTGATTTGATCATGATTCGTGTTCATACGAGTTTGAACAGCTCGTGTTTAGTGACGATCGATGCAGAGTCCGATTCCAAGACGTGTTGGATTACATCCATTGTGTCTCATATGTGATCTGAACTCATACGAGTTAGAATAATTTGTATCTAGCGTTGATCGATATCGAGTCTGATTCCAAGATGTAACAGCTTGTGTCATCCATATCTCGTATGCGATCAAACTCACGACCTATGCTTAGAACAACTTGCATGTAACAATGATATTCAATTCATATATATTGAGTTCCGTTGTACAGATATGTTTGATAGAAAATAAATAAATAACAGAAATCTCGAGATATATATATGGGGCCACATTTGTTTGGCGGTCCATGTGAGATCCTTTTGACGTCACCTCTTTTGCCAACACAATGCCCATCCAGTCATGACGTGTGTACAAGTACAAACAGAGCACTAGAAATCTTGGCTTTAAATATGGGGAAAAACTTGTCCCCTTTTTCGAGTTGCTCCTTCGAGTATTTTATATTTGCGATGAAGGGTCTGGTCTTGCCAATTTTCCTTGTGGAGACCTGGAGAAGAAGGTAGGAAGGATGGTGGGAAGACCGTGAAAGGTACTGTACATGCATTTTTGTGGTTGGAATTTGATTTTGGGGTGGGGCTGCACTTGACCGTGACATGGTCTGGAATGGGGCTGCTAGCTGGTGAGTGGTGACTGTGACTAGGGTTGTTGATGGTGCATTAGTTTACACGGATAAATACGCCTGATCGAGACATCCGCTAGAATCATGGGATGTGAAAAATCACATGGGGACAACTAAATTCTAAGAACCGGTGTCGTCGTATATTTCCCAGTAGATTGCATTTCTGCTTCTGTAGATATCCTGATGATATAGTATCTCACTGGACGTCCACTTTATTTAAGGCTCCATTTAGATCACCTTTAGATTATACCCTCTTCGGCTCTTCCTTGTCCTTTCTTACATGTTACTCTCTGTTCTAAATTATAAGTTGTTTTAACTTTTTTTATATAGAATTTGCTTTGTACCTGGGCATACGTTATATCTATATCCATAGCAAAATAAATGTACCAAAAAAGTCAAAGCGACTTATAATTTGGAACGGAGAGAGTATATTAGATTTGTTCTAAATTAAATAGTTCTAATTTGGATCATTAATTTTAAAAGACATGGAGTTTCACAACATATATATTATGAAAAAATTTTACGTAGCACTGTAAATCTAAAACATAAACCCTATGTTGTTAAGCTATACATTTTACTAGAAAAGGATTAATGGTCAAAGTTATAAATATTTGACTTATAAATCAAAACAGAGGGAGTAGTATTCAGATAAAATAATCTCTAAGCGATCAAACACTCTTGACCAACAAATCTATATCTCTTATTATAGAAAGCAAAATCCTACTACACTTATATACCATAGTGTTCCATGCCATCAAGTAGCTAACACAATCGCATATTGAAATACCTCCTAAGGCCACGTCTGGTTCTGGTTCAAAGGATTTTCATAAGAAAAGTGAAGAAAACATAAACGGAGGAAAGGAATGGAAGAAGATCGTTTGGAACGGAGGAAACAACGACCCTTTTCCTTTGGAATACTGTAGCTAGATACTGATTTCATGGAAAAGAAAGAATCCACTCCGACCCCTTGTTTTCTCTTCCTTCGCGGAAGCCCGAGGCAACTTGCGGCAACAACGGAGGATTAAGCTTCAGCAATGGCCGACTCGTCGGAGTTAGCAGTGGAAAGTTTCTCAAATCAAAACTATTTTCTGCAACAAAGAGGTCATAAGAGAGCAGAGAGAAATTTTAAGCAAGCGCACGCCAATAACCCCAAAGCGAACCCCTTTGAACGAATCAAACAAATCCATCCAAGTAGGTCCCAGGTCATGGGCATGGCGCCACGAAGGAACCTCGACTCGACGAGCTCCCATCCGAGCAGGTCCCAGGTCATGAGCATGGCGCCGAAGAACTCAACCAGCTGCTCTCACTGACGTCCTTCGTAGGAGTCCGAAGGCCGTAACCTCCCAGTCCGCTGTTCTCACTGGCTTAGTCGCTCGCCATGGCCTTGCCGAGAGGAGAGAGGGAGCAAGGAAAGAGAGCTAGGAGATGAGGATGACGGCCACAAAGAGATAAGGACATAATACTTCTAAATAAAAAATACAATAAAATATAGAAAGGTAGCTGTGAACCGGCCAACTAAAATCTCATGCCCAAATGTGCTAAGATGAAGTTAATCAGTCAGTATTAAGCACTAATATGTTTCTTAGCTTATGCATGTTTCAAGTTCCTGTGACCTCCGAACACCTCTTTTTATCTATTCATGTATTTTTCCAATCCTCTATCACCTTCGTCACATTTCTACGTTTTTTTTTCTTATTCCTCTGTTTTCTATTCCTTTTATCAAACAGGCCCTCAACACATGTGTGCGCAACACTCGACACGCTGTTGATGGAGGGGGGAAAAAAGAAAACGCAAAGAAGTCCATGCATGACCACCGTCTATCTAACAGCGTGTTCAGCTGGCTGGTTATCTTTTTTTTTTTCAACCGGAGCAATATTTTTCTCTCACAAAATTTCAGCATGAAGAGCGTTTCCAGCATAAACAGTGCCGGATTTCATCCCAGCCGAACACTCTCTAGGCTTCAACAACTTCGAACCCCAGTGGCGGCGACCGGGCACTATCGTTGATCCCAAAGAATTTCTCGTTTGGATCGGATACGGCAGTTAGTGGGAGCACTAGCACGCAACGCGCAAAGCAAGTCGGGGTCCGCGCGGCGGCCGCGGCCGCAGGAGATCCCAGCAGCAACACGGCGGCGAGATCCAGGAAGATTCCTGCAGGCCGCCACCAGGAGAGGAGAGGTGCGTCGCGTCGCGTCGCGTGAGCGTGCGTGCATCTGCGCGGACCCAAAAGGCCAGGCCAAAGCGAAGCCGCTTCCACCAGCCGCGCGCCACCTGGCATCTCTGGTCCGTGGACTCGTCGTGTCTTGGGCACAAGAAAACGCTCTCTGACAGTGGGACCGACGCGCTTGGGGACCCAAATATCGTGTGCACGGGTAAGTTCGTGTTTGTACGATATTATAGGGGGGGAAAGCGGAAAAGTGATCATCATCATCATGGCTATATTGGTCCAAAAAGGCCAGGACGGAAACGGAAATCAGCAGAGGGAGGATTCCTGAATTTCTGATCCGGTCCTCGGCGTTTCCGAAAATCCATTTCGAAACAGGGGTTTGTTTGGTTCAAGTTTCTCATCATATTATCATCTAGTTTATTGTGACTCTATAAGTGCAGTGCCGATGGATCAGGGTTTTTATCCGTGCAACTCTAGAACACGACCTTTGATAAACTGGAATGGCGATGAGAAGTTGTGAAAGTTATTAGTAGGCTCACTAAAACAACGACGTATTCAAGCGTACCACGTACGTACTTTTTGGTACGGAATTCCTTGCGAGAAAAATTGATGGTGTCGTTATCTCTATAATTAATGATGTTATCCGAGTGAATAAAGTTATGTGTGCATTTTGTCGTTATATAGTTTCTTTCTAGCCGCTAATTGGCCAATATGCATGCATTGTCGCAAAGGAGAAAAAACATGCTCTCGACTACGTCGAGATGTTTATTGCGCGTTTTGTTTACTTTGCTATTTGTTACACCTTAGGATCACCGATGGACCTATGCTATGCCATGCAATTTCTAAGTGGTAATGTTAACAACAAAGATAATCTGCTTAGCTCAGCATGAGATACGAACGATTAAATATGACACAGATAAATGATAGAATACTAGGAACATAAAATAGCAAACTCGAAAATAAAAGAATCACAATTTGGGCCTTGTTTAGATTCCAAAGTTTTTTCACTCTCTCTGTCACATCAAATCTTTGGACACATGTATGGAGTATTAAATGTAGATAAAAAAATAACTAATTACACAGTTTGATTGTAAATTACGAGACGAATCTTTTGAGCCTAGTTAGACTATGATTAGACAATAATTATCAAATACAAACGAAAGTGTTACAGTGTCGAATACTAATTCCTAGCCACGAACTAAACAAGGCCTTGCCCAAGAATGCCATTCTATGCCAAATGAACGAATGTCAAGATCAAACATCAATTCATGACTGTACCTTTTTTGACATTCAAAACACCTATACTGTAGTGACTAGCTGACGACCAACAACCTACAGAGGTATCGGTGTAATTTTCCTCTTTACCCTGGTGCAAGCCTAAAAGTCTGCAATCTTATTCCAACATATAAATACCGCCCGGCTCCCGGCCAAGCTCCCAAATTCCATTCCGGCCCCTGCCTTCTCCGCCTTCTCCGCCTCCGCCTCCTTCCGGTCTCCAGTTGTCTTCCTCCCGCCTCCTCCCGGTCCCCTCCCGGCGCAGCCTCCCCCGCCCCCCTCCAGCCGAGCGAACCCTACGCGGAGCCACCTTCCACTCTCCCCGAAGCTCGCCCCGGTAGGGGAGGCCTGGATGGCGGCGACGTCAGCGCCGCCCGCGAGCGCCCACGCCCACGCCAACGGCAACGGCTCCCTCGCGGGGGTGGCGGCGCCGGTGGGCGCGCCCACCAACCCCATGGCTACGGCGCTGCTCACCGATCAGTACCAGTTCTCCATGGCCTACGCGTACTGGAAAGCCGGGAAGCACGCCGACCGAGCCGTGTGAGCGCCCTCTCTCCCCTGTCCCGCCCGCTTCGTTGCTGTGCCGTGTCTTACTTGTTCGGCGGTGCCGGTTGGATTGGATTGGATCGGGAGGTCGTGACCTGGCGTGAGGGTGGTGAGCGGGGACGGTTTATCCGTGTCGGATTAGGTTTTGAGGGATGTGGCTTTCAGGGCCATGTATTGGAGCTCGGCCCCTCCCTGCTGCAATTCCCTTGTTGCTGTTCTGTTGCTAATGCGGTGCTCTCGTTTTCGGTTCTGATTGATGTGCTGGGAGCGTTTGTCCTCGTAGGATCGGTTGTTTGATATTGCTGATTTTTCCCTCTTATTACTTTCTCACCGTTGCGGGTTACGGCAGTGTTCTTTACATCGTGGATCATTGATTGTTCAGAGCGTTTTATCTATTTTCGACTCGGTGCTCTGGTTTTGCTCTGCCTTTGGGAACCCTTTTCGCGTGTAGTTAAATTTTTCTCTTGTTGCAGCAGTGATATTTCAAGCATCTCTTCCTCTCGATATCTACTGTTCGTCTTTCGTGTTTCTGTGTTAGTACATTTGCTGTATGTCAATATGCATTACTTTTTGCTAATACAATGTTGCCTATGTAAAAATGAGCAAGTGGGGTGTCACCTTTAGTATTTTGATATGTGCTGTTCTGTGTTCAAACCGGACTTTCATTTTCATTGCTCAACTTTGTGTTTCTCCGCCTAAGCCTTTTCACTGTGCAGTTTTAATTGCTCCTTGTCGATGTTGGTATTTATCTGTTTTTATTTGTTTGGAGTGGACGATGCATTCATTTGGGATTATCGTGCTCTTGTTAGAGGTATATTCTGCAATTGGTGTTAGTTTATCCTAAGTTGGGTTTAGGAGCCAAAACTTTTTTCCTACTTTTCTAATTGTATGCCTTGGATAGTTTTCACAATTTGCATATGACATGACACGTGAGTAGTGTTTTTTAAATCGCAATGTAATTCAGAGGGTACGTGGACATTTGAATGAAGACAAACAGATGAATGACATTTACTGATTGAGTAAACAAATAAGTCAATCAATTATCTTCGGATTTTATATTTAAAATTTGCTGATGTAATTCAGAGGGTACGTGGACATTTGAATGAAGACAAACACATGAATGGCATTTACTGCTTGAGTAAACAAATATGTCAATCAATTATCTTATGATTTTATATTTAAAATTTGCTGATGTAATTCAGAGGGTACGTGGACATTTGAATGAAGACAAACAGATGAATGACATTTACTGCTTGAGTAAACAAATAAGCCAATCAATTATCTTCGGATTTTATATTTAAAAATTGCTTTGGTCATCCAAGGATTGAAATGTGTACAATCACAAACGTATCCAAGAAAGTGACTTTGACTTAAAAACAGTTGCATATTTTAGTAGCGGAAAACTCCTTTTCTTTAGAGAAGAAACAAGGTGATATCATCATATTTGTGTTGGCTGCTACTGCTAGCTCAGGAACAGGGGTGTGTTTTTACGAGGAAAAAAGCTATAATTGTGTCATTCAATGAATATTCTGGGAAACACTAGGCTGTTTTATAATATTGCTAGTACAACATGACAGTGCAAAACTTATTGATGGATGGTGAGCTAAACAGGAAACTTTGTGTGAAGTGATCTTCTCTATGTCTTGGAACGTAGTCATAGTTCTTAACTAGGGCATTTTGAACCAATTTGCTTTGCCTTTATCAATGGTCATATGTGCCTCCATACCCTTAAGTTTCATATGGATAGAACTTGCTTGTATGCATTATATTAAAATGTTGTTTGTCCATTAAGATATTTATCGGCTTCTGAAAAAGCAATGTTTTTATTTTATCTCAGCAGTTCCCTAGATTGCAGCAGAGATGCCTCCACATGTCTCCAAATAAAGTGCGGCCAATCTTAAAATAATTTTTATCACAATTTTAGGGAAAATTTAATGCAAGTGGCATTGTGGCAAGTTAATGGTAGGCCATGGTATAATTCAATTTAGCCAAGTTGTGAAAGTATTTCTTTGAAGGGCGGGCCTGGTGCAAGCGGTAGAGTCTTACTGCCTGTGATCGGAAGGTCCCGGGTTCGAGTCGCGGTCTCCTCGCATTGCACAGGCGAGGGTAAGGCTTGCCACTAACACCCTTCCCCAGACCCCGCATAGAGCGGGAGCTCTCTGCACTGGGTACGCCCTTTGTGAAAGTATTTCTTTCCATTATTCTCCTTTTTTTACCATTCATCCGCCATTATCTTGATATGAATACTTACTACTGTATGCATTTCTACCTTGTGTTCCTTTACAAGAAATTGTTCCTTGCATGTTGTTTCTTCTTTATTGTTTCTCCATTCAAGGTTGAATGGCAAAACTCTTCTCACCTGCATAACTAGAAGCTATTTGTTCATGGAGATGAAAACAATAAATGATCATAAGCTGATCATAAGGTTGAATGGCAAAACTCTTCTCACCTGCATAACTAGAAGCTATTTTAGTTAATGCGATCAAGAAAACACTTTGTGTCTGCTTCCTCATGCAAGTGCTAGTCCTCCATGAACCTTTCAGTGAATCTAGTTTCAAGCCTTCTGATTTAGTTTCAGTGAATACAAATCTAAGGATGGAAATAATGTATTACAGCTAACAGCTTTGTCAACTTAATTCTGATTTGAATCCTTTTCCTTTCACAGGTTTGACCTGTACTTTAGGAAAAATCCATTTGGTGGGGAGTTCACTGTTTTTGCTGGCCTTGAGGAGTGCATCAAATTTATTGCGAATTTTAAGTTCACAGAACATGACATTTCGTTCTTGCAATCAGTCATGCCAATGTGTGAGGTATCATCTCATCCATACATGAGTAGTCTCTCTTTCTTCCCATGATTCTGAGATAGGTTGTTGGGATTGCTGAAAATCATGCCTTTTAGTCACCAAGACCAATTAGTATGAACTAGAAAGAAGTGGCTACTTCAAATGGAAGAAGCGGGAGTAATTTTAAATGCACATGCTGTGCCTTGGATCTTTCGTTTTTCACCTAACTTTTTTTTTTTGAAACATCACCTAACTTTTATAAACACTCCTTATTTGGTTGTTTTCCTGCCAAATGTTCATTTTCTGATGTAAACTTCAATTCCTAGGGTGCGTTCTTCGATTATCTCAGGGAAGTTGACTGCTCTGATGTAGAGGTGTATTCCATTCCTGAGGGATCAGTAGTTTTTCCAAAAGTGCCCTTGATGAGAGTTGAAGGTCCAGTTGCTGTAAGTACGAAGCCCTCACCAGTTGTTGTGCTCATACATGTTTGCCATATGAGCATTGACCAGAATTTTGAAATGCCTCTGATAACTTACCATTTGCTATTACACCATCAGGTGGTTCAACTTCTTGAGACTCCATTTATAAATCTTATCAATTATGCTTCTTTGGTAACTACTAATGCTGCGCGTCATCGTCATGTTGCTGGAAAGTCAAAGGTTCTGTTAGAATTTGGTTTAAGACGAGCACAGGTGTGATATTCAATTATCCATCCCTTTTCAACTGTCATTGTAAAACATTAGTATTTCTATGTTAAAAAAAATATTGCTGTGGATTTATTACTGCAGGGACCTGATGGAGCAATAAGTGCCTCAAAATATTGTTTTATGGGAGGTTTTGACGCAACCAGGTGGATTATTTTGCATTTATAGTTTATAACTAAAATCCAGCATATTTATGATCCTTGCTCTTTATAATAATGCTTGAAGAAGTATACTTTCAGTTATCCTTGCATAGTTGCCTTTTTATCCCTCACTATAAAAAATATTTTGCCCCCAAAAATGTTAAATGTGTTTACCTTTTGTTCAATCTTTTTTTTTTGCAGTAATGTTTTGGCTGGAAATTTGTTTGGCATACCACTTCGTGGAACACATTCTCATGCTTTTGTTAGCTCATATATGGTCAGTAAAGTATCCTTCCTTATATGAATGAATGAAAGTTTACACAAATGCAGTTACTTTCGTCATGAGAGCATTATGTCTGCATACTGTAGTTTCATTGGTCAAACAAAACCTTTGTTCTTCATTGCATTGGTTGCTAGCCCCACTGTTGTTACAGTGTTACAGGATTCTGGGTAATGTGTTTCATTTCTTCTCTTTTCAACCATGCTAGTTTTTTCTTGTTATGTTCTTTTAGTCTGATGTGGAATCTATGGATTATAAATTTATCATTCCTCCTTTTCATATAATTTCTGTGCAGTGTGCACAACAGTTGGTACTGTCCCTTGCAATTTTTTCCTCGAACGCGCAGGAGAGCTGCGTATCATTGCATTAATAGGCTGTCCCTTGGATGTTCATGCTTAGATGTCTATTTTGAGAGTATTTTTCTTTGTGCCAGTTCTCACAATTTGCTTGTTTCATGATTTAGTAATATACTTACCACCCTTTCAGAGCCTTGATGAGATACCAGACAAGGCCCTCAGGAGCAAAAATGGCTCAAGAGTTTGCCAGGATTTTGTTAGTTTAGTGCAAGAGTGGCTTCAAAAGATTCAGGTATGATTCTAGAAACTTGTTACGTTGATTTTAATTATCATGGTATGCTTATGTTACTTACTTTTTTGGTTGATTTCAGACAGCCGATTCATTAGGTGGTGTATTTGGTGATACAAATAAAAGTGAGCTGGCTGCATTTGCATCCTACGCATTGGCTTTTCCAAGCAACTTCCTTGCTCTTGTGGACACATATGACGTGAGTTGTCAGTTTGTTCGAGCTTCAAGCTTTTCTCTGGTTGTTTGTACTTCAATTCATGTCTGAATGAGGAGGGTCAACTCTCTTTTCTTGATGTTGTGAGTAGGTCTGAAAACCTCCATTTGTCATTGCTGTCTTCTATAATTTTCTGTGTCTTTCTGAATGCTCCTCTTTATGTGCTGATATTAAGAAATCATGATCTTTTGTTTTACTGCCAAACTTGTTACTTTATGCATAGACATGTATGGATTTTTTTGGACTGAGGGTAGACTGATTGGTGATTGCACAATTCCAGAACAGAATGTGTTTTCACTATTATCATTACCTGGCATTATTCAGAAGGCTTTATCAATTCCTTACTCATTCATGTATATATTTTCTGTTGTGTAACAATTAGCGTCCATAAGCCATACTCACCCTCTTCTCTGCCTTTCAGGTTATGCGAAGTGGTATTCCAAATTTCTGTGCAGTGGCTCTAGCACTTCATGACTTAGGGTATGCCAAATGTCTTTTGGCGCTCATTACCTGTGTGTTTGACCACCCCTATTAGATACAAGCTTATCTTCACATGAAAATTCATCGTGTACTCAGAATCAAATTCATGAGAACACAAATGGAGCTAAATTTATTAAAAAAAGGTCACACCAATAGCATATACTTTAGGATGGTTTACGTTTATAACTACCATGCTTACAAGTTACAACTGAGATAGGAAATTCCCCAATCTTGTGCTCAATCTTTAAACATAAGCTTTTTGCCTAATCATATATTCTTTTGTAGGTACAAGGCATCTGGTATTAGATTAGATTCTGGTGATCTAGCCTATTTGTCCATTGAAGCACGAAAAGTGTTTCGTGCAGTAGAGAAGGAATTTAATGTACCTGGTTTTGCAAAGATGGTCATTACTGCTAGCAACGACCTGAATGAGGAAACAATTGATGCCCTCAACAAACAGGTAGTAAACTTATCTTGTGTTTACAATTTGTCAAGGACTATTTTACCTTTCGTATTATGGCAGCTGTGGCTCCAGTGTTATCTGACGTGTTTGCTTGTTCTTCTGTAGATTTATCTTTATTATTCATCCTGCCAATTGCAGATATAATTTAAGATCTCCATTTATTTTGCAGGGTCATGAGGTTGATGCCTTTGGAATTGGAACTTACCTTGTGACGTGTTATTCCCAGGCTGCTCTTGGCTGTGTCTTTAAGCTAGTTGAGATAAATAATAGACCTCGTATTAAGCTTTCTGAGGACGTGGCAAAAGTATGTCCAGTATTTGTGTGTTAGAAATATCTGCTTTATTTTATATATATTCGTTGATGGTGTGATAATATGTTTCAGGTTTCCATTCCATGCAAAAAACGATGTTTTAGACTGTATGGGAAAGAAGGCTACCCACTGGTAGATATCATGATTCGTGAAAGTGAACCATCACCTAAGGTAACAATGCACCTCTGTTATCTTTGTTGACATCTGAGCTTTATATTTAGCACAAGGTTCCCAAGTATCACAGTACAGAATTTTTAGAACATATCTTAGAATGGAATATAAGCTGAGCTAGTACTTGAGTTCATCACATGCTTCCTATATGTGTTATGCACCACAGCTATCATACTCTGTATCTTGTCTTTGACATTTCCATCTGCAGTAACCTCTAATGTTTAAACTGGATTTCATATTGTTAAAATATTGCAGGCAGGAGAAAGAATCCTCTGCCGCCATCCATTCATTGAATCAAAGAGAGCATATGTTGTCCCCCAGCATGTTGAGGAGCTTCTACAGTGCTATTGGCCTGGGACATCAGGTATGGACCTTTTAACTCTTTAGCGAGAATTTTGTTAGTGGTCACACACTAATGGCTGAATTTTGGAAAGTAGTAACTGAAAATGGGAGTAACCAGCATCAGCATTTGATTGGCTTCAAAACTTAGAAGGATAGATCCTCGTTTTGCACTACATTGTTTAAGCAGAAGAATCTTAAAATAGAACAGAGCAGCATGACAGGCTTAAATTTCTTTCTGAACATAGTTTGGTAGACTTGATAACTTTAAATGTCCCATATTTCCGGTTCTCTGTTCTGTTTATATTCCTAGTGTTGACAATCACCAGAGCCACAGCTAAGGATGCAAGTTTAGCTTCCTTTGGATCACTGGGTCGACCCATAAGTCACTGTAGTTGAACTATAATCCGATTTAAGAAGCAAGGGGAGTGAGATAAAACGAGTTAGCTAGCTAACCCACTGGTTGACTGGTATCACCTTTAGGAAAAAAGACTTCATCAACCCTGCATAATATCAAAAGAAAAATTTGAATGCTAATTATCTTTTGGATCATTAAAATCTGTGGACTTTAGTGTCCTGGATCCTGTCTTGTTTTGTTATGTGTTAATATGTGTATCTGTGTTTCCCTGCAGATAAACCTAGAGCAGAGTTGCCCTCCTTGGAGAAGATCAGGAGCCGCTGCATGCAGCAGCTTGAAAAGCTGCGTCCGGATCACATCCGGCGGCTAAATCCAACACCGTACAAGGTTTGCTTCTTTGCATCTCGTCTTTGTCTGTCCTCATCTTGATATAATGACATGTCATAACCGGAAGTACCACTAACTCCTCAATCTGGGCAGGTGAGCGTGAGTGCAAAGCTGTACGATTTCATCCACTGCCTATGGCTGAACGAGGCACCAGTAGGTGAACTACAGTAGATGATGCTCACATAAAAGAAGTTTTGGGTCATCTTGATACAGCAGCGATTCATCGAAAAGAATTAGAGCTCTTCTGCGCAACTTCAGCAGTTGAGCCCGTGGCCCATGCCGTAGGATTTTGCTCCCCAGATTTTTCCATCTCTAGTTACCGGTATAGAGGCAGGTTAATCAACTTGTCTAATTTATACATCCCTTGATTGGTGGGAGTGGACTATATACACATCATCATGGAAGTAACAGAATACATCATTTGAAGTCGATGGGAAGATTAATAGCGAAAAATGTTACTAGATCCTGCCGTGTTTGTCCCCTGCAGTGTATTACACATTTGCAGGTGTCAGGTCCAACAGACCAGGCACCACAGCAAAGCTGATGGTTGCCGTGCTAGCAGGCTTGAATTGCTGCTGTCACCGTTCCCTGTTCTCGGGTGTTGTGTTACGCAAGGACTGGGACTGCCGTGGGGTGGGATGAGTCCAAACGTTGCAGTCACTAGAGTAAGGGCACGTTTAGTTTGCGAAATTTTTTGGGTCTGGCTACTATAGCATTTTCGTTTGTATTTGACAATTAGTGTCTAATTATGGACTAATTAGGTTCGAAAGTTTCGTCTCGCGATTTCTCACCCAACTATGTAATTAATTTTTGTTTCGTCTATATTTAATATTCCATGTATACGTCTAAAAAATTCGATGTGATGGACAAAAACCAAAATTTTTTGGAACTAAACGCGCCCTAAGCAAGCAGGAATTGGTGATGCGCTCGCCAACTGCCGTGGCATTAACACAGCAGCACTTTTTGGCTGGTTATTTTTCTAAACTACAGTTGCGTTATGACAGCACATGTAACAGATCGGTTAGTTGCTTTTGGATGTTGTGGTGGCATGCATGGTTGTTCTTTTATGCGCAATTCCTGCCAAAAGGGTGACTGGTCTGCTAATTTCCATGGAAGGGGCACACGTTTCATGAACGGAGAGCTTGCAACGATAGAGACCTGTGAGAGGTAGGTCTATGGTTAAGCATCAGAACGCTAATTTCTGACAAATTCGTGTTACCTACGGTTTCTGGGCTCAGATACAGATCTGGGCACTCCATTTCTCATTCGCCAGTCCAAATAACTTCTAGGTCATGTTTGGAACACAGAATTTTTTTTCTATTTCTATATTTTTCTTGCGAAATTGAACTGACTCATGTGAATTTCCTGCATGGTTCCTATGAAAATTCTCAAGTTACAAAAAGACCCTTAATGTAGGTCAAGATTAATATCTCTAAGAACGTATAAAAAACAGTAACAAATTATAGTTTTCGATTGTTTCAAAAATGTATTGGGTAAAGAAGAAAGTAATACCGAGTAGTAGCCTCTGCGGGCATTTGGGACACAGGAACACACTGCTCGCAGCTGGCAGCCAGAGGCGGGTAGGTGTGGCCAGTGGCAGCCAAGGGCGTGTGGGCGCAAATTTGAAGTGATATGGTGCTGGCCGAGTGATTTAGGGCAGCTCTAATAATCGATTTTTAAGCTAGCTCTAAGTATTTTTTTTAATAGAATAGAGAGAAAAACTAGCTCTTAATAAGATCTTGCACATATTTTAAGGTTATATAAGAGTGTCATGTCAGGTTATTTATGTTAAAAACTATGTGCTAAAAGTTAACACTATTGAAAAAGTTGGCTTGCGGGGTGTCCTTAGTCTTTTGTTGGCAGGGTATCCGTACCCTTAAAACCCCCCAAATATGTTTTTGTCTGCAATTTTTTGCACTCTTGGAGATACCCAACAGTGAAGCAATAGTTTATAATCCTTACTTCCCTGATTCTGTTGAATTTATGTTTCGCATAGAAATGTTTTCTTCTTGTTTGCTTATTTACGCGAAAGAGCACATGTTCGATGAATCGAGACAACCTGCTGCGAGAGATGTATCGCCCTAATGCACCTAAGGTGGATATGACATGGTTGATCATCATCCTCCCCTAGGTTAAGGTTTAGATGGCTCTTCCTCCTCCCTCCCCCTCCCCCTCCCCAGCCCTGTCGGCGACCGCTCAGGCGCCGCCAGCCACCTTCACCTCGCCGGCCTCAGGTAAGGACGCCGCCTCCTCCCCCTCCCCCCTCTCCCCAGACGCCGAGCCCTTCTTCCCAGGGGCACGGTCGGCGGGAAGGGGCAAGTCGCAGCGGTGGGAGATGGACTCCTACGACTCCGACACCGACTTCTACTGCAGCTCGCCGGAGGCTGCCTCATACCTCGACGTGGCACGCCGCGGGTGCGAAGCCGCCTCGATGGGTCGCGCGGGTGCGCAGCCTGACAGCCAAGGCCCGGGGGAGACCACGGCCGAGGCGAGTCACTGCGCACCCACCAAGACACAGAGCTGCCACCGCCGGGCAGAGCCACGGCGACGCAGCGGGTCCCGGCGACGCAAAGGATCGGCCCTCAGGCAGCGGAGAGGGTCCCCGCCCATCGGCGGCTGGGGCCCTAGAGACGAGCCACCCCGCCGGACGCCAACGGCTGGCAGAAGGTGCTCCCGCGCGACGAGGGCCGTCCTCCGCCAAGAGCGTCGCAAAGACAGTCCCAGTCCCAGCCTGGCCACCGCATCCCACCGGAATTCGATGGTCGCTGCCTCAACTGCCTCTCCTACAGTCACAGGGTGGCCACGTGCCGTCTGCCGCACCGGTGCGTCCGCTGCCACAGTCTGCACCACCTGGCAAAGGACTGCAAGCGGCCAAGAGACCACGCCGACGGCGGGGACAGGCCGGCGGGGCGAAGATTCGTCAGGGCACGCCGCGACGGCTCCACCGCGCCGCGGGGTCAACTGCGAGGGGCCCGACGCCACCTCTCGAGCCGCTGCCACTCCCCGACCGATCCTCCGAGGAGCTTGCATCCGAGTTCATCAACAGGGCACCACCTGGCCACCCGGCCACTAGGGCGTGGGAGGCCGAGTGCTTCATCCAGCGTGACCTGGCCACGGACTCCGCGGAGACAGCGCTGCACCTAGCCTTCATCGCGCAGCCGAGCGGGTTCACCGTTGGATGCTCCACATCGGAGGTTCTGCTGGCGGTCATGGCCGCATCAGGGGTGGCGGCGGACGATGTCCCGGTCAAGAAGTTCTACCCGGAGCAATTCATCATCTTGTGTAGTTCACCGGCGATCAAGGACCGGGTGCGGGAGGCATCGCCGGTACCGCTCAACGTCACGTCGCTGGTGCTCCTACCATGGACTCAACTGGCGCACGCAAACCTATCGACGCTACAGTACAAGCTGGCCATCGAGCTTGAGGGGGTGCCACCGCACGTCTGGCGTGAAGACACCGCAGCCAAGCTCCTCGCGCCGTACTGCTGGATACAGAGCATCGAGCCAATCATGGCCGCCGGCGACGACCTATCCTCGTTCCGCCTCATAGCATGGACGAATAAGCCAAGCTCTCTGCCACAAATCTTATGGCTCAATGTCGTAGAGCACGAGGTCAGATCAGCGGAGACCGGAGGGGTCAGATTCCGCGGGGACTCAACCGTTCCTGTGGAAGAAGGACACGCTGCGGTACAGGATCATCATCCACCTGAGATGCGTTCATGACTACTCGCCGCAGCCGGATTACAGGGGTGATGGATCCTCGTCCGACGACCCAGCCGAGGACGGCAGGAACAATAGGCATCACCACGGCCACCGCGACTCCGGCACAGAGATCTACCCCTTCCCCTGCCGTCATGGCGAGCCGGACGACAATGCTCCGGGGACATCAGGCGGCGGCGGGCAGGACAGAAACCGGGACCGCCAGGGCCCGCGCAGGCGTGTACCGGCACACCAAAGGCTAGGTCCACACGGGAAGGCTCATGTACCTGGTCCCCAACGAATCGGAAGCTACGAACAGCCTCGCCCCGGTCAAAAAAGCAGAAAGCAGTTCCAGGCGCCGCGGCAAGTCTGGCGTCCTAAGCAAGCTAAGAGACAAGAAGCAGCACCAACCCAGCCAGAGATTGCCAAGGCTGACAACCGCTCTGCTGCCACCAGTATGGGGGGCACCAGATAGCTACTCCCCAGCTAGCCCACCTGGTAGAAGATCAGGATGCCTAGGGAGGCCAGCTGGCCACCGATGAGCAGCTCCAGGACAAGCGGCCACCAATCACCCAGTTCACGCCGGAAATACCGGAGGCGGCGGCCGACGACGTCACAACAGAAGCGGACGGCGGGGACCTGACAGCAGCGGCATATGAAGCGATAGCGATCCCGCAACCGGTACAGATTCAAATCACAGCCATTTCAGGGGACCCAGTGGTGGACGACGTCGACGATGGTCCATTGGTAGCCGAAGAAGCAGCCAAGGCAAAGGATGCCGCCACGTCGACACAGGGGGACCGGACACAGGCGGAGGGTGGGCCGGACAAAAGCCCGCTGCCGCCGACCCATGAAGGGAGCACACCTCAGTCCAACGGCCCACCTGCCCATGAGGCCCAGGAGGCCAGTTAGGCCATAGCAGTTGATGCTGATCGTTCAACAGCCCACCAATCGCCGCCATGGGATGGGACGGTGCCGGACGGGGAATAGGGGGCTATAACGCCACCGGCCAACAGGCCGGAGCGCACTACACCATCGCCGCCGAAGGACACGACATCGGCGCAATGAAGGTTCAAGTCGTTCGCGGTGAAGGTCAAGAGGCCCAAGCCTGCGGCGCTACTGAAGCGCCCATCACCAGTCAAGGTGGCAGAAACGCCCAGGAAAAGGCCGACGCGAAGCCGGAGGATCACGGCGCAGAGTCTGTCGTGGATTTCGGTGTCCAAGCGTGGGGAGTATCTGGTGCTCAAACGCCTTGGACACGCTTCCCCACTCTCCTCATCCACTGCCAGGAACAAATTCGACGCCTTGTTCGGAAACAACCCGGAGGACGACGAGGCGCTCAGGGAACTGTTCCCGGATGATGGCCACATCGGCGGCCGTAGGAGGCACCGTCGTGCGCGGGCTTAAACAGCTCACTTCCCGGTCGACAACAACAATGGATAACACAACCATTGTGTGTTGGAATGTTCGCGG